ATGTGGTAACAACCTTTTAGTTGTGTCTAAATTTATTTCATAGATTTTGATTTTGCTTGTTGGAGAAGGAGTTTTTGAGTTGTGGGTCTTGGATAGCTGGACACTTGCTTGGGGCTGGTTACCCTTGCGGTCCTTGGGATATTGGACACTTGCTTGGGGCTGGTTACCCATGTGGTCCTTGGATTGATGGACGCTTGCTTGGGGCTGGTTACCCGTGTGGTCCTAGGGATATTGGACTCTTGGTTGGGGCTGGTTACCCGTGTGGTCCTTGGGATATTGGACTCTTGCTTGGGGCTGGTTACCCATGTGGTCCTTGGGCTGTTGGACTCTTGCTTGGGGCTGGTTACCCGTGTGGTCCTTGGGATATTGGACTCTTGCTTGGGGCTGGTTACCCGTGTGGTCCTTGGATATGAGGAAGGAATGGTTGGTGCCGGCTTTTGGGTTTAGTCTCGGGCGACACCGTGGCGAGACCCTTGGCCGTTTAAAAGCTGCTCATCATTATGTAAAGCATGGAATTCCTCTTGGTCGACCTCTCGATTGAGCTGCTCTATAAAATTAACCCTTGGTTGTGCCCTATGCTGGAATTGGGAGGTTGACGGATTGTTTTGGTACCTAAATCGTTTTTTACAGGCCATAATGTCATGCCCCGCCGTCTTACAATATCGGCAGAAAGCGTTAGGTGAGCTCTGTTGATTCATATTAGGACACTGTGAGTATTTTTAAGGAACGGTTGGTTTGGAATTGAAGGATTTAACGAAATTTTGCTTAGGATTATGTTCATACCTCGTTTCTGGCGGTGGTCGTTTATAGAGGCTTTGTTGGATTCACTCTTCTGAGATGGCTAAATTTATGGCTTCGTTAAGCGTTTTTGGAGACCTACACCTAACGATATTTGAAATTCGGGGGTGTAACCCCACGAGAAAATGATGCAAGGCAAGGTCCTCCATGGCCGCAACCCTACCTGGTAACTCTTTTGCTTTGGTGTTGCATAGGGATATTTCCGTTAATAATTGTGAGAGGCAGGTCTCTATACGGAGTGCGAATTGGTTAACGCTGTCATGTGGATTTTGCTTGCTCTCCTGTAATTCAGTGAGAATGTAAGCGTAGTGTTTACGTTCACTGAATTGTGTCTTTAAGAAGTCTTTGAGCTGTTCCCAATCTTTAAACTCTTTTATAGAGCAAGCAATTTCCGCTTTACCTTGAAGCTGGCTAATAATATATTTAAATAAGATTTGTCTCTGAGACTCAGAGGCTAATTCGTAAGCATTGTTACAATTAATTATAAAAGAATTTACGGTCTCCCTACTACCGTCATATGGTTTAACGAACTTAAATAAGGTGTTCAAATCCATCTCAGTCATTGCAGTAGTTGCAATGCTGGCCTTAGTGACTCTTGGAGTAGCTGGGGTGGATTTCGGGGTGTCGCTAATACCCAGTTCTGAGAATTCGAAGGCTAGACTGGCTTCTTCCCCTTTTGTTACTTTTGGCATAATAAAATATGTATAAATCTAAAGAAAACGCAACAACAACGCAAAAAAAATACAAAAGAACACAAAAAATTATATAAAATAATCAGAATAAAAACACACAATAATATAGAACAATCACAAAAATAGAATATTAACAAATTTTAAAACATTTAAGTGCAACTAAACAAAGGAACATAAAAGGTTGAGAAGCTTTGGCTTATACAGTCTAGACAAAACAATGACCAACGACTCACAGTATTAAGAATGCGTGGGCGACGGCTGCGACGATAAGCGGGAACATTCCGATGATAGGAGCGTCTTCTATAGCGCACTGGAACGGAACTCGATGAATTCTAATTAATGAATTCTCTGACGATAATTATTTTATGAGAATGGATGTTTTCCGTGCTAATTTTTCTTGATGATTGCGGTTCAGGATGCAATCGCGGCTCTTCTTTGGTAATTGTGTGGATTCCTTTCCAGGAATCAATTGGGTCTCCGTAATGGATGGACGTCCAGGCCGTAGCGATGAGTGTAGCACTTGCACTACATTTAGGTTCACTAGGACGCGCCGGGACGACACAGGATAAGTTTTAATTTTAGAAAATTTAGGATACGGAGCGAGTCTGCTGAGCGGTTCCACTTCACTTGGCACTGGGGATTTCCGTATCCCACCGCTGCCACCAAAATGTTATACGGAGACGGGCTAAGGTTTTTAAAAAAAAAGATTTATTTAACACTGAAATTTAATTGGGTATAAATGGATTAAATATTACAAACTGGTTAGAAATTAACCTAGGTCCGTAGACAACCGAGCAGGTTCGAAGATGGAGGCAGACTGAAGTGGCCGAACTGCTCCACTGCTATACACACTGAACCTTAAGGCTAAGTCGATATTATTAAGGGGCAGTGCAGCAATAAGGCTAACAAATACAGGGTATAACAGTACGAACCATACGCGTGGCTGGTCCGTCCAAAAGTCTGAGAGGCGAGACTGTAGAGACAATGCATCTACACCTGGTGCCATAATGGGTGGTGGCGCGGGTGGCTGGATGTCTTGAACGGGTGGCACGTTAACAAGCGGCACGTTCTGTGGCGTTGACGGAAATGGCGCATTCATGTTACTATACAGTGTGTAAGTGTAAACACCGTTGACACTGAAACCATAGGTAGTTGGCTTTATTATAAAAATATTTATCCGATTTAAAAAAAAACGCTATTTTCTTTCATAAAATTAAAATAGTTTCTGTCCGACACCGTCCATAAATTCATGGACCCTATGCGGCCGAGTGACGTAATCACTGTAAAGATCACCGCTCGCCCTTGCTACCTACACAACATTTCAATAAAAACACAATGGTACACATAACCTATGATATAACTTTTCCTTCGTACTTTCTTACTGGCTTAGGACAGTCAAAAATTCCTACCCTTTGTGTTGCGTGACGAGTCCAAATTAATGTAAGTTAAATTTAACAACAAAGAAAATTAAACATTAATAATAGTAAATCACTAGGTAGGATCTTTGGCGTATTTAAAAGGTTAATCATAATGTTATGCACACACGGCTACACACTAAGCTATGCAAATCCAATGGGTAGCTCGCCGTCCAATCAAGGACCCGGGGTCCCTGGACTGTCTTAGCAAGATACCGCGGCCTTGGAACGCAAAGGGCATTTGAAGCTTAAGCTGACCGTTCATTGTAAGAAAAGATCATACAAAGCGAGGCCAAGACATACTGGATTTGTATAGCTTGATGTGTAGCCTGATTGTTTGATTATTTACACTTACCTATTAAATAAAATCCTCGTAAATGAATCCCATTTTGATCAGCTTTTACATTAATCGTAAAAGCTGTTCAAAATGCGATCCATTTGCAGCCACGCATGCCTCCGCACATTTCCGTAGATTGTTACGCACTCTAGGAAGCACAACAGTGTCATTTTTTAAGTCTCGAAACACACTAAGAATTCGCCTTTTGAGTTCCGACGTATTACGGAACTTAGTTGCATACACTCGGCGCTTCACTTCTCCCCAAAGATAAAAATCCAGCGGGGTAAGGTCGGGCGAACGCGCTGGCCACGCAACTGGCCCTCCACGTCCAATCCAACGCCCAGGAAACTCCTCATCCAACATAGCCCTGATTTGCAGCTGAAAATGTGCAGGGGCACCGTCATGTTGGTAGTAGAGGTTTCTCAGTGAACGAAGAGGCACATTTTCCAACATCCTGTCGAATACATGTCGTAAAATAGCCATGTACGACTGTGCATTCAAATAGCCGTCAATAAAATAAGGTCCAAGAAGTTTGCCGTCTAGAATTACCGCCCCCACGTTTACAGAAAAACGGTGCTGATAACTGTTTTGCCGTATTCGGTGTTCGTTTACCCGACTCCAGTAATGTTCATTACGAACATTGTGAATGCCCGACCTTGTAAACACTGCTTCGTAAATAAAATGGAAACGTTATCAAAGTTTTGAATAAGCCGTTGCGAAAATACCACCCGCGGTATGTGGTCGTTTTCATTTAACTCTTGAACTGGTTGAAAATGATACGGATGTTGACGATCAATGTGCAGAATTTTCTAAATTGTCCAGTGAGAAACACCGAAAATACAGGCCGCCCGCCTGGTACTCTCCTCTGGGTTCTCCGCGAAGAAATCCAAGATACGTTCTTGAAGGGTAACTGGCAGCTGCTGGTTGCCACGCCCCTGAGCATGAACCGGCACGGTAAACTGTCCATAGCTACGTAACCTTTGCGTGGCCGCCAACAAAGTTTCACGATTTGGCATAGGTTGTCCAGGGAATGATTCTGCGTACATTCGTCGAGCCTAGTTCACATTGTCGTGACTTAACGCATAAAGTCGGACCATTTCACGTTTGTGTACGACATAATTCCAAACTAAACTAAACAAAACTAAACTAAACTACACACTCGCAGAAAACTACGCGGCACGGCGTGGGGAGCGCTTATAATTCAAATAAACACGTACATTCGCTTACCGAAGCAGCGACTGACTGAGTAAATGAAACAGTGACGCTACGGACTGTCGGCTGATGGCCTTGACCGCTCAGCTGTTGCGCGATGCCCTGCCTACAATATGTTGACTATAATTTTGTATATGCCTAGGGTGAAATAATTCTAAGGAAAAAATGAGATTTGACTTTAAAAAAATGTTGTTATTTTTCATTGAATTTACGTTCTATAAGTGAAACCAAACCACTGGTTTCAAGGACAACGGTGTTTACACTAACACCCTGTATAAATTGTCCGTCCGATCAGGACCACGCGAATATTGTTCACTACTGAATTAACATCACGTCGGGGTCACCAGTTTAGGAGCTGACTCCATAGGGGTGCCTATTGGTGACCATAATAAAAGATGAAATAACTTTTGCTAAAATTTATTATAGCGGAACGTACAATACAGTTGGCGGGCAACTAGTGACTAACTGAAAAATCTTATTCACTAAGTATATAGATACAATATTGCAAAGCATACATGCGTGTATGTGTGTGCGCAGCACACTTACAATAGCAGGTCTGGGGCCATGGTAATAGGTAAATACTTTGCGAGTTTTGCGATGACGTTGAAGCAACATTTTGGGAGCTCTGCGACGATGTTGAAGCCATACTTTCATGTGTGGATTCAAAGTCCTTTGTGTCTTCCAAAAATGTCATTATATCGAAAAAAAAATATACTTCTTTTAGACACCCCCTGCAGAACCGAACTTTGTTGTCTCTACATTTCATGTTTGCATCACGGGCTGTCTTCCATCTTAACTGAAGAGCTGTTTCTGTAAATTAAATCTACACCAATATTACAAAGAGGAAAAATTTGTTTGTTTGAATTGAATAGACTCCAAAACTACTGGACCGATTTGAAAATTTCTTTCACCATTGGAATCTTAAGCTGGGTATCCATTACGTTCGCGAACCTCTTGCGCTCCGCGCTCCCGTAACCGCTCTGATGGAGACGGGTACACGTATCTCCATAGGAATATGCATGCTCCACAGTGCTCTTGTGAACATTTAGCGAACATGTCACCATTAGTGGCTAGTGCAGCAATATATATATATATATATATATATATATATATATATATATATATTTCTCCTCGCTTTTGGGAATCTGGCATTTTCAAGAAAAGACGTCCGAATTCATTGGTGTTGGAACTCAAATCTCAAGAATTAAGTGGCCATTATAAAAACTTCATGCGAATGTCTTCATCTAATTTTGAGTATTTGTATAATTTGGTTGTACCAGCTATACAAAAAAAAGACACAAAATTTCGAAAAGCTATATCGGCTCAATATAAATGCTAATTTATCTTGAGCCGATATACACACAAGCCTGCAATACTTATTTAAAATCTCAAAACAGGCAATCAGCAAATTTATCCCAGAAGTCAGTCAAGCTATTATCAATGGACTGAAAGACAATGTGAAGGTAAGAAATGTTTTATTAATAATAGGTTCCATACAAATTAAAAAAATAATATAAGATGTATAATTAAACGAAATCATCGACATTAAAAGAATCCGCGCTGTACTGCGATCCGCTTGGACTGCTTTGACTAATACCAGCTCCAGAGGTACTACTTGTTGGCCAGGAGTGTACTGATGAATAAATCGGATCCATTGCAGCTGTTTCTGGCCGTGTTATATAATAATTTTGGGACTGACTTGTGTAGTAACCATATTGTTCATTGTTACTAAAATATTCTGCGTCAGCCTTAAATACGATATCACATAAACGCTGTTGTACCAAATTCTTCGTGCGATGATCGATATTCTCAATGTATTCTCTAAAAATTTACAAAACGTGCCAATCTCGTCGTCTTGATTTGACTTGGTCGATGCTGATTTTAAAATACCAAATGCATCCTTTAACATGGCAAGTTTGGGATCGTATTTGCGGTTTTTTGGAGGCGTCGGGGACCCATTTGTCGGAGATGGAGGCCCATCTGTAGTTTGTGCAGTAGACGGTTGGTCGAGAATGGCATCATTATTATTTTCCTAAAAACAAAACAAAATAGGCTAAAAATGTATGTAAACAGTTTATTGTATAGTCAGCGACATATTAAGCTTTACATATTTGTTTTTTTAGTTGCCTAACAACCCTCAAGAGTGGTTAATGATGTCCGATGCATTTGACGAGTTATGGAACTTTCCTCATTTTATCGGCGCAGTGGATGGAAAACATGTAGTTTTACAGGCGCCTGTTAACAGTGGTACCGAATTTTACAACTATAAGGGCCATTTCAGTATTGTGTTATTTATTTTGGCTGATGCTAATTACAAGATTGGGTTTGTCGATGTCGGTTGTCAGGGCCGAATATCGGATGGTGGAGTATACAAGAATACTAAACTATACTCTTTGATAGTAAAAGGTGAATTGAATTTGCTCACTCCAACACCTTTGGAAGGACGTAATAAAGTTATACCATATTATTTACTAGGTAACTCTGCATTTGCATTGTCCGAAAACATGATGAAACTGTTTCCCGGCCAAACACATGCGAAAAGTACTCTTGAAAGTGTGTTCAACTATCGTCTAAGCAGAGCACGTCGTGTTGTGGAAAACGTTTTTGGTATAATGGCACAAGTCTTCAGAGTTCTAAGAAAACCACTTATGGTAGAACCAAATAAGCAGCAGTTATAGTACTAACGACCGCTCATTTGCACAACTATTTACGAGCTCATTCAGATACTTACTGTTCTAGAATAAGAAAAAGCGAAAGTTTAAGAGAGGATTATGTAACATTACAACCACTAAGAAACTGTGCACGTCGGTCTCCTGACAATGCAAAAGAAATAAGAAAGGAATTAGGGGATTTTTTTAAAGGAAGGAGCTATTTCATTCCAAAATCACTATTAACTGTCTGAGACGCACGTTTTAAATATTATCATTTAATAAAAAGAATATAAATAATAACTGTCGCGGTTTATCGCGATCCATTAAAAATGACAATGCTTCAAACGCGAACCAATTACTTTTATATATTTCTGATGTACCTGAAATGTGAAAAATAAAGTAAACAACTATCCATAGTGTTTTATTTTATACCATTTATTATTACTCCAGTTATCTACCTTTCCCAGTCCCACTGCTTTTGTTTTGTTTGGATCTCTCTCTACGAAACCCCGAAAGCAGAATTTTTACTTTGTTTTTGCATATTTGCTCCGATATGCCCATACCTCTTCCAATTTTCACCCAGGCGTCTTCTTTTAAATTTTTATTTTTGTAATTCTCATCCAGGGGATCCCACAGCACAGTATAGTTTCGGTACAACCCGATTAGAGATAAACATTTTTCTTCCGACCACTCCATGATAACCGAGCGTGGAGCGTGATATACGACACGTACGCACTTGACGTGATATCTTGCTCGCGTCCACGTATAGACTGAGCTCCCCTTTGTGTTCGCCCAATTTACCGCTACCCGTTGGAGCGCTGAGCGCGGAGCGCGCACCTTACGCGCTCCAATTTCGCAAACGTATCCACTATGCGGAGCTGTTGCAAGAGCGTGGAGCGCAAGAGGTTCGCGAACATAGTGGATACCCAGCTTTACATTATCTCTGATGAACATAGGCTATAGTATATTTTCAAAAAGTTAGGGATCTGGATGAAAACTTTGTTAATGTAACCCACGGTGTGAAAAAAAAAAACAAAAGAATACATATATCGCGTACGCTGCGGAAACTATTGACAATAGAGCAAAGTAATGTACTATAGTTTTTAGAAAGTACTAATATCTAAAAACAGTTACAGTTATGTCACAATAACTACTTTTTCATATTAAAATAAACAATAGTAACGCCGAAAAATCCGTATATCGCGTACGCTGTGGAAACTATTGACAATAGAGCAAAGTGATGTACAACAGTTATATAGAGGACATCAATATCTACAAAAAATCTGCAATATCATATATCTAACTACTACAGTTATGTCATAATAACTACTTTTTCATGTTAATATATGCAATAGTAACGCCGGTACAAACTAGACCACATTATTCGTACCTTGGTATTAATCGTTATATTCAAATAAATCACTTTGTATTCAAGGCTATATATGTGCCTGTTCCATCCATAACCACCAATTACATTAACCATGTAATTTAAGTAAAATTTTTTCTCTTTTTAAATCTTTGTTAATTTAGAAACCATCCGTGTTGATGTCTCTCTCGAAGTTCGCGCTCCCCATTTGATACTTGCTAAGATTCGACAGTCAGGGAAGATATCGATAGTAGTTACTTCGTTAGGAATTGCAACTCTCTTAAAGGATGGAAAAGCTGCTCATTCTACTTCTAAACTTCCGCTATCCGTAACTCTTGAGCAACAATCTACATGTTCTATCCGCAAAAATGGGCCTCTTGGTAAATTGCTACAAAACGCCTCATTGATTATATGCGATGAATGCACCATGAGCCATAGAGCGCATATAAAGACCGTGGACAGAACCTTAAAAGATCTTAGAAACTCCTTTGCTCTCATGGGTGGTATCACTTTTGTATTAGCACTAGATTTTCGACAGACTCTTCCCATCATTAACAGAGGTACGCGAGTAGATATCATCAAAGCATGCTTGAAATCGTCTCCCTTATGGATTTCGATTGAAAATTTGAAATAGCGAAGAAATGTGAGCGCTCATATTCAGGGAATCACAGATAGTGATTTCCCACAACAACTACTAAAACTTGGGGAAGAAATTTTTCCCGCTCCATATTTAAGCAGAAATTGTGACGTCCTTCTGGACGAATATCTAAGTCAACTAGTCCATAATTTAGAAATTTTAATAAATGCAATACACCCTGACATTGAGAACTTTGAGAACTTGCACTTTCATTATTCATTTCATTAGAAAAGGACTTTCATTGGACGTGTTTTAGAGCAATAGTGTCGCCTAAGAATGATACCGTCAACGAAATAATCTGATTATTCAAAAAGTCCCCGGCCACATAAAAAATTACGAATCGATCTACACCGTGACTAATATAGAAAACGCAGTCCATTACCCACATCAATTTTTTCACTAAACCCTTCTGGACTGCCACCATACGAATTGACGTTAAAAATCGGAACGCCAATCATGCTTTTGAGAAATTTAAGCCCCCCGAGCATGTACAATGGGATGAGGCTACTTATTAAGAAACTGAAGGAAAATTTAACTGTAGCGACCATCATCACCGGCCTATCAGCTGGTTAACTACCTCATATACTGAGGATATTTTGCTGCGACAAAATAAAACATCAAATATCGTTTACAGGGAAGCTCTGAAATAATAAATTTAATAGTGTTGCGCGGCTAAGTTGACATCTGGCACTAGCGCCATCTAGTGTCGGGTAACAGAGCGAGGAGAGAGCTTTCCAGAAAATGACATGACTAATTTTTTAACCGACAGCACCATCTAGTATCAAATTGAAGAACTAAACTTTCTAGGAGCTCTACACTGGAACTTTCTGCGCTTGGTCGGTTGGCGCGCGTATTTACTCGAATATTCTGGAATATTCTGGATGTTTTCGTGGAAGAGCCCTATATAAAGGCGCTGCAATACGCGATCGAGGAAGTATTGAATTTGGCGACACAAGCGAAGCTTCGGAGCGGAATAAAGTGAATCACTGTGATTAATTATTAGTGTTTAAAGTTTAATTAGTGTAAAGTAAATTAAAGAGTTAATTTTGGTAATTCTATCGGCAATTTTTATTGTCACGAACCCTAAGCTCGTAACAATAGCTTATGATTGTAGATATAATCTTTTTACAAATAATATAAAAATATTTCTAATGAGAATAAAAATAATCAAAATTAAAATAACAAAACAAAATAAAAAAATAATGACAAAAAATTCATTATCTATACTAATATTATGAAGAAGAAAGATTTTTGTTTGTTTGTTTGTATCGAATAAGCTCCGAAACTACTAGACCGATTTTAATAATTTTTTCACCAAAATAAAGCCAAATTTTCACAAAGTAACATAGGCTATAGTTTATTTTCAAAAAAAATTAGAGATCTTTAAGAAAATTTTTTACCTAAAATAGCAAAATTTTGCATATAAAATTCATTATTTGGCGTGCGCTGAGAAAACTTGATGAGACATAAAAGTTATTTGCTACATGATTAAAGTCTCATTATTACCCGCAAAAGGTCCGCGTAAGGAGTATATCTATCATAATTTAGTCACAATAGTAGCTTTTGTGTTCTAAAATTTAATAATTTCACCGGTCGAAACAATTAAACGATTACAGTCGTATCGTAGAATTAATTATTTTTCAAATAAGTAGTTTTATCATAATGAAAGGGTTAGGTAATAATTTGTACCTCCTTTTAAAGAACATATTCTATTCTTTACTTTAGTCATACATATTATGACGGGAAAGTTGGAAATTTTAATAAACCTAAACTTTGAGCAAAAAAAAATCGATTAAAGATAAGAAATGTTCATATTTTGTGCTAGATTGCGCAAAAACTATAAATGATATCGCTTTCGTATCTATAAAAGGTTGATAGAAAATTCAAGGATCGTTTCGTACCTCCACACTTTTCATGTACCTTGTTTAAAACTGGAAAAAAACCGCGTATTGGGGCACTTTCTGGGGCGTTCATCCGGGAGTGGGAGAGAGAGTGGATAAAATTTAACATTGCTCTGTAACGTACATATTATGCCGATAGATAAAAGTACACATGCTAGTAACTTTACTTATTTAATACACACTTTTTTGTTGTAGGTACCTGACTACTGGGTCAAGAATGTCTGATTTGCATTTAAGTTATCGATAGGGGCTATCCACAACTAAATACGTTATTGAAGAAGTATACTCATTAATATGGGAAATTTTGAAAAACGTATGTCTGCCTGAACCTGATCCAAATTTTTGGAATAAAATAGCACTTGGCTTTGAAGGGGATGCCAATTTTCCCAATTGCGTAGACAGAAAGCATACCAGAATCACGTGCCCAAAAGAAAGTGGATCCGTATTTTTCAACCATAAGCAATTTTATTCTATTATTTTACTTACAATGTGTGATGTCAATTACTGTTTTACCTATGTAAATGTAGGGGCTTGTTGGCAGCGAAGCAGACGCTAATGTGTTCAAGAGAAGTTCGTTATTTCACAGAACGAGATGATCTAAATTTGCCACTTTCAAAATTATTATCAGGCACATCTATCAACCCGCAGCCACATGTCATTGTAGCAGACGCAGCTTTCGGTATTTCTAATGCTATACTTCGTCCATACGCGCGTACAAATTTGACACAAAAAAATAAATTCAATTACAGGTTAAGTTGTGCACGCCGAGAATACGCATAGAATCGAGTTTTGGTATATTGACAAACAAATAAGCAATATTCTAAAGATCTATGAATGTGAATGTATCAACATCATTTGCACAAGTTTTAATCAAAGCGTGTAAATTTTACACAATTTCATTAGAGTACGCGATGGTTATACGGAAGAAGACGCTATGATTGTAGTTGGATTTACAGATTACAATGCTCGCATTAATGACCGTAAACGATCGGGCAATACAATAAGAGATAATTTTGCAAATTACTTTGTCCCAAATGAAGGATCGGTACTTTGGCAAAATAGTTATATTTATTAGATAACACAGATGTTTCAATAAACCTTACTTTCCGATTTGTTTTTTTTTCTTCATCTGAACTATCTCCGAAATTCGGACAAATAGCTTCGCAAACATCTATCCATGCCTTTAATTTCGCGTCTTTATTTTTATATGAATTGTCGCGGAGATTCCAAAGACATGGTCGAAGTTGTACTTAACCGTTATCGTTAATAACCATCTCGGTTTGCACATTTGACGCAGTCGCCATGACAACGACAGTACTTTACGTCCGCTCCGCGCGACTGTCCGCCGAGCACTGAACAAATACATTAGAACCAAGTATCGTCCGCTCGCGGACATCCGTGGCGCGAAGGAGCAATGTGGAGCGATTTCGACCGAGCGTGAATTACTATTCGCGACGCGGACAGCTCCGCGTCGCTCTGAACGCGCTGTAAGGTTTCATACATTTTACCGTCCGTCACGGACGTCCGCGTAGGTCATCCGCGTCGCACTGAAAGGGCCCCACACTTTTAATTAATAAATATTTATGATTTGTATTACGTTCACAGTCCCCAGAATCAAATATATAATTTGTTCAGCATAGTAATCTCGGAAAAACTTAAAAACATACAAATAGTAATTTTTCTCTGAGTATTTTACATGCAAAACACCTTTAAATATTATTCCTACATTTTTTAAAATGTTGACAACGTTTTTCGAGGGATAAACCAGACTAACCCGAGATTTTAAAGTAATTAAAATTGTTTCAAATTGCTCAGAAACCAATGTCTACATTATTCAGTGTCCGGGTTAAACATGATTCTTGAAAGTGAAGAGAACAAATATAAATTTATAACATTCACTAGTCACGGTTGATTAATGAAACGTCACAAATATTCCGAGTGCACGGTTTATTCACCTAAACAGTAACAGTACAGGTCCTTAATAAGTAAGTTGTAATAGTGGTGGAGAAATGAAACTACTATGTTATGTGCCGACGAGTGGTGTATGGAGTATAGAGTATGGAATATATTTTTACGTCAACCCTGCCTATATTTATATGTCCGGCTACGTCGTTAGTTTACCAATAATAACAATTTTTATTTGCCTAGCCAATTATTATTCTTACATTATGACCAATAAAGATTAATCAAAATACAACTATTATGTGCATTCCATTTGCCGGCGTGAGACTCGTGTATATCTTCTCGTAGCTACGTCTCTGGACTGGACTATAAAAGTTGTGCAAGCCGGCGCGCGTGCCCTCCTTTCTGCCAAGGAGGGTCGCGTATCTTATACGGCTATCTCTCGTCAGATCGGTAAGCCAATCCATAAAAGCGGTGTGTAGTGGGTAAAAGTCTCCACATAACCACGCAGCCGGCTGCGTGGTATACTATGAGCATTCACCGCCTCTCTCCCCCGCTTTCCGGAGGGTTGCTCATATTTGCTTCGGGCACAAAAAAGCGCGCGTAGTCGGCGAGCGGTGGAGGCGTGGGACACAGCTCCGGAACAGCAAGAAGAAGCGAGCTACGGCGTTGAAGAAACGGCTAAACAATGGTCGACGGATACATGACGATAGCGGCGTGTGAAGACGGTGTGGCGCTGAATGATATTTGCGGCTGTTTCTTGTTTCTTTATTAGAATGTTAAATATATACGTCAAATTATCTTTCATCGATATGCAGCCCACAGTATCTCATTAGCCGGGGATAATTAGAAAATAAATGTTTTCTTCGCCTTCTGTGTTATGGTAGCAGCAGGGTATATATTATTTAGGGTTGATTAGCCTGGCTGCTACAAAGTATACACATAAAACGACGTCTCGCAAAATGCAGCGCGAGCGCGGGAGCCATCGATAACACACATATATCTCAGAGCTAAGCGGCTAGCGGACTGCTTGCGGGAGCTAAGGCGTGGCCGGTGCGTGACCCCACGGCGCAGGTGGGGTATCATACTATAGGGGATAGCGAGGTATCGGGTGACAAGGTAAGTATCTGCGCGCTACATACTCCCCCTTTTGACCAAGAGGGAACATCCCGAATGGTCAAACTAATAGTTAGCGCCTAGCAGCAATCCTTACGAAGCCGACCCCTGCGATGCTTAGGACACTCGTAGGCGTAGGAATTTATTTTAATTGTAATCATTTAAAATCACTTTCAGTAATACTTACATATATAATATCATGTATTTAATAACAACATTAATATTTATCACAGCATATAAACCTAGCATACACGGCTATAAAAACTAATAACGTTACTTGGTAACATAAACTTAATACCTACATGAATAGAATAGTAATATGTACATTAAGAGATCAGTAATATTCATATATTAATTGAAATATTATATCACTTGACGAATATATTCATATTAACTAATACGAACAAATTAATATCGGTATTACTACTAGCCCTCGGCCAGGGCAGTCGGCGACTGCCCGTTTCACGCCCCGCGCGCCTCTCAAGGCCCCCGCACAGATCCAGACACCCACACATAGCCCCAAGCGATTTTACGTGCACACATGCTTAAGTGTCGTTTCTTTTCGCGTAATGTATATATTCTTTGACAAAACTGCGATTAATTTGAATTAGGTAGAAAAACTAGATATTTTGATTCAATCTTTTCAGGACAGATTTTCGGAGTTTAAAAAAGTGAAACCTCTGTTGGACATATTCAGCAATCCTTTCACGATTTCTGTTGAAAATGCGCCAGAGTCAATGCAGTTAGAAATTATCGGCATTCAAAACGACCAAGATTTACGCAACAAATTCAAAGAATGAGACTTGCTGAACTTTTACCGCTGCATTGATAAAAATACGTACAAAGAGTTGCGCATAAACGCTCTGAAATGTGCCAGCTTATTTAGTTCTACCTATATGTGTTTCCCACGGCAATGAGATGTTTTTCCGCGGAAAAATATATATGTAAATAAACACTTCATCTTTTAATTTAAACTACCTTTGTGTTCGAGAAGAAGAAAAAATATAGTTTCAGACCGCTAACGATTAGTACTTATTATTAAAGTAACTGTTTTTTGTACTACCTTGCATTTTTAACGATGAAATAGATTAACCTTCATATTTTGTTGTTATATTATTGAACCATTTGTATTTGAGATTCCGAATGAAATGGTATTAGAAATGGAGCAAAACATAAAAAAAGCGGTTCGAGAATTAGATTTAAAGATTTAGACCTCTAATGGAGAGAATTGGGGCCTTCAGCGGCATGTATCTAAAGCGAAGCGAGAGCAAGTGACGCAGAAGCCCCAATTCTCACTTACTTATGTCACTCTACAGCCACTGAACTATCCCCATACCAAAATTCATGCCATGCCGACACTGTTGCGACGTGAAAGAAGGATAAAGTAAGCCATAGCTGATAAGCGCTATAATAAAAGAAGTCAGTACTGCCGTTGTCAAAACTATGTTCCGGTTAGTTATACCATTGCCAAAAGATCATCAACTTAAAAGAATCAGGGACCAGTATTATTATGAGTATTTATTAAAGTGGAATATTCCAAACTGCGTGGAAGCAATTGATGGGAAACACAACCGCTAACTAAATAAAATGATGTGTCTTACCTGGATTGAAGAGCGCCTCCCGCCCTCCCTCAATTGTTTCATTATTGTTTTGATTCTCATAGCGAGTGCACGTTGATTACAACGCTCGTCAAATATCATCTATATTGCTGAGTTTAATCAACTTTATTACTATTTAGAAATTCAGCCGCCATTACCTTTTTTTTTGACTTCATACTTGTTTTTGTTAATTGCAGATCATGGCCAACACTGAGGAACACAATGATTCTAATTCTATCACTAATCCGTATTATTATGCACAGGATGTGGATAATTAATGAAGAGCGGCCATCGAAATCAAAGAAATGTTACAGGAAGAGAAACCGTTCTTAAGAATTATCATCATCATCATACATTATCCGCCGAGATAAAGATAAACGAGGTCATCGCCTGATGAAAATCAGCATTTGCGAACTTAACGAGCAAGAGGAAAATGTCACCCACGATCTTAGTGCTAATATAAGCGTTCAATATGTTGTGGATTCAATGTATGATGAAGTGTTAGATGCTACAAATTGTCTTATAAAAAATAGATGAAAAATTATGTGAGAACTAGTAATTTGTATGTACTAAAAAGTTAACATTGAATTTTATTATTGTTTTATTATGTATCATTATTATTCAATTGTGTAGAGGAAAAAAGAAAAAGACATTTATTGTTACAACGAATGTACTTATTAAAACTAAATATTTATTTATTGTAAATTAGTATAAAGTTATAAACATGATAATACATGTAACTTAAGCTATACATTTATCTCTTACTTACTTATACAGTACATAGTAGTATCATTACATAGTTTTACATTCAAATTTATTAAAATATAGTTTTATAGTGTCCCCACGGTAACGTATCGTAGCCATCTGCCATAATTTATCTCTTGTCATCATCTCTATTAAGTACAAGTTTATCAACTTTTTGAGTAAATATTTGATGATTCTTTGATCTAATCATACACATACTCTTTCTAAAGTTTTCATTACAACATAACGCTCGTTTATATTTTTCAATATTAAGATTTTATTTAGTAACAGATTTTTTAATACCCTTAGCTTTCCTTATTGAGGTTGTTTTAGAATCAATACAATATAATTTCGCTCTTAATCCAACAAATTCAGTTATTAAATCACCACCCATTTCGTCTTTGCAAAACCCTGGAAGTTTACAATTTACTATGGGCATATCATACTGATCGTTTTTGAAATTACTTGTATCAAAATATTTTATATTTTTTTCCTCCCCGTTAAATTGCGCCACCGCTCCTTCGAAGCTGTTGAACAACATGGCGGTCGCCGCCGGCATACTTGATCCGCCGTCTTTACTGCTGCCGTCGTCGTATATTCTATCGCCTTCTTTATATAAACCCCGCGTTTGCGTCCTAATTACGTCGTTATACGTCGTTGAACAATAAACTGCACTGATATCATCGAATTATATTACAAACGTATAGAATGGACATCCTGAACCAAAAGTTTGTTTCATTTTGGTAAGAGTTAGAACTAAAGTTCGCTGCAGCGCTAAAATAATAGTTACGAATTAGGGGCGACTAAATCTAGTAAAGTTTAACCCTCAGAAGACAAAAGTTTGCACGTTAACCGCTAAAAAGAACTCCTTTGTCGTATCTCCTCAGTTTCAAGCCACTCCCCATTGTTGCATCAGTATCATCATTGTTGCCACGGAATCCTCGGCGTCGACATATCGCGTGACGTGCAGTTTCGTGGTCACTTGGAGGTGAAGGCCGTACTGGCCTCTAAAAAGCTTGGCGTGCTCAGCAGAGCGGGACAGTACTTCATGCCGGCACATTGCCTGCAACTTTACAAGGTGCAGGTTCGGCTGCACATGGAATACTGTTCCCATCTCTGGGCTGGGGCTTTCCAGTGCCAGCT